TACACAAAGTTTACAAGGACAATCCTCCAAACAAATCAGAGGTTTACATTTCATTTTAAAAAGGGACAAGACAATGCTGAAGGTTATGCCTGCACAGCAGAACATCTGCATCAATTTGCAAGGAAAAAAAATTAGTCTTGTTCATGCTTTAACTGAAGAGGACCAACAATTACACTAGAAACAAATAGTCGACACCATGGACATCTCAGTTGATTCAGTTCACACAATTCTTTCTGACTGAAAAGTAGAGCAAACTTTCTGCTTGATAGGTACCCCAAAATTGTTGCTCCCAGATCGGCTACAGACAACAGAGTTTCCAGTAGAAATTTTAAACAAGCAGAATCAAGATCCTGAAGCATTTCTTCCCAGAACCCTAACAGATGACACGTGCTTTCCAAGTGCAATCCTTAAGACAAAGCGCAATCAAAGCAATGGCTACCAGTCAAAGCAAAAGCTGACTGGCCAAGAACAAAGGTCATGGAAGCAGTTTTTTGGGATGCTCAAGGCATTTTGTTTGTTGTTGACTTTCTGAAGGGCTATCGAATGATAACATCTGCTTATTATGAGAAGGTGTTGAGAAAGTTAACCAAAGCTTTAGCACAGAATGCACAGGACAGCTTACCTAGAGAGCCCTTCTCAACAAAGACAATGCTCCTGCTCAATCCTTTCATCTAACAAGGGCGATTTTGAAAGAGTTTTATGGACTATCATTAGGCATTCACCTTACAGTCCTGAATCTGCTCCTTTTGACTTATTTTTGCTTCCTAGTCTCAAAAAATCTTTACAAGGCACTAACTTTTCTTCTGTTAATAATGTATTAGGTAGTATTTTTATCTATGCAAAAATGTGTCATGACTTTTTCGATGACCCAGTAGAAAAGACTGCAATGACGTGGTTAAATTCCCAGGATCCATGTTTTTAGGTATGGAATAAATGGCTGGTATGATAGCTTACAAAAGTGTCTTGAATTTGATGGAGCTTATGTTGAGAAATACAGTTTCTATTTTTCTTTTTATCTTTTATTCCATTTTTGCATGGCCTTCTAGAAAGCTCTTTGTAGCTTCCTTAACATATAAGGAGGATATTAAACTTGGTGGATGGAAAAGGCCTTTCATGAAAAGCATTACTGTGTTCCCTAGCATAGAATTAATGGTGAGAGACATGGTGTAGAGTTTGTAGTCATTAGCATTTAACAGAAATGGTCTCTAACTCTTCCAGCACAAATCTCAGCTGTAACCAAACTTTGATCAAATCTCCCCATCAGTGCAACATTTTGGACTTTGAAGAAAATTCAAGAAGACAAGGATACACAAATAGTGAAAAGAAGAGTTAAAAAAGGAAAGGCGAGGGTACAAAAAAAGAAGAAAAATATGCGTCAGTAATGTCCATGGTAGACTGCAACCTATTCAGAAGTGGAAGTCTAGAAAAGGACTAATTAGCACAGACAAAAAGGATAGCCTCTTTTTTCTATTTTCTTTCACCAAAAGTCCCTAGTGGAAAGTGGTTGAAATATGTAAACAGTATATTTTTTAAAATATATAGAGTATTATATATATGTGTGTGTGTGTGTGTGTTTGTATGCATGTGCACACACCTATGTATATGTGTATGTACTTGTATAAAATATATTGAAAGTCACTTAACATTCCTGAAAAATTTCTTGTTACAATGAAGAAGTTGAACTAGATGATTTCTAACAAGTCTCTCAACAATTAAACTGTGATTTATAAGTTTTTCCTTTAAATATCTCTATATTTCTATGAACTAAATTAATTATAAATGAAGTATTAAAGTTCTAGCTGTATCTCAAATTTAAAATTTTATGAAGTAAAAACATCCTATCCTCATTTGTTTACTCAACAATGAACCAGATCTAACTTTTAATCCAATCAAGCAAATCAAATTTGTAAATGAATATCTACATATTACAAGTATAATTCCCCATGTATTATTTATCTATGTATAATACACACATACACGCAGAGAGGATTTTTACCTCTGCCTTGACTCAGTAAAAATTTAAATCTACAAAAAGAGAGGGCCTAGCAAATTTCTAGGATGACAAGTAGTAAGTGTAATAAGAAATTTTCATCTTTTTCTCTGTAAACACTAGTTACCAAACAAATATTTGACTCGCCTAATGAACTGTAAATGAGTTAGTACATGCTGTCACTAACAAGCTTACTGATAAAGGTTTGAATGTAGAAATTTTGCAATAGTCACTCTTTAATATAAGAGCAACAAATGTTTAAGCCTTTAAATTAGAATTTTAAAATGCATCATTCATCTTGATTGCTAATAAAAACTAATAGAGTGTTACTAAATTCCTATTTAATTCTCCTGAAACTACTATCTTTGAAAAGTTTACTTTGGAGCTTGAGGCAGCCTAAAAATCATGTGTAATTCAGTTATCTTATCTGTGCCAATTCCTGAAAAAAAAAAAAAAAACAGCACAAGAAACCACTGTTAATCAATGAACATACTTAAACTTTAAAAGACAAATTAACAGACAACTTAAAATGTACTAAATACCTAGATATTCCTCACATACTTTCAGAGAAAACTCAGTATCCTGCCTTGAATCCAGGCATGGGAACATAAAGGACTGGAAATACACAGATAAATTACAAAGAACTCATTCCACCACCTCAGCTCATTGGCATGCCGTGTCAAAAAATCCTCAGTACAAAATGATCTGAGAAATATAATATTGGACAGTCCTTTTGATTTCAAGATTAGAAAATGACATCTGCCAACTGCTGTGCAAAGTCTCAGTTATCCTAAACCAGTGCGTTTGTCAATGTGAGACAAGCAAACCAAGCTCAAAGGTCAAAAATTGCAAAAGAGAGGTGAGTTGCAGAAGGGGGTGCAAGTTGGGGGCAGGCGCCTGTCCAAGAGAAGACACAATAGGGTGCTTTTTCTTCGCTACTCCTATCCTGGAATCGGCTCATCCTTGCCCTCTGGCTGGAAACTTGGATCCTGGGGAGAAATGTCCTAATTCCCTCATTGATAGTATCACCCAGGTGCTTGCATCTGTCCTGTCCTTAACACAGGCTTCTCAGAGCAGAATAAATACCCTGCCCACCATTATACCGAGCGCCAGATCGGCGGTCGCTTCCACCCATCTGTCTAGGTGGCATTGGGGGCTTAACGGGAAACTTTCTGGGAGGATGCAGCCTTAGAGAATGACCAACCAACCAGGGCACGTAGTTCAGTTGGCAGTGCTGGGGAAGGGAGAAGACAAGACGCTGTTGGTTACTCACAGTTCGCCTCTGACACGGGAAGCACTAGCGCAAGACACGCCAGCAGCGCCCCGCAGCGCCCACCCAGGACCCTCATTGCGAATGGAGGGGAGGCGCGGGACTAGAAGGACGCGGGACTAGACGGACCGGGCTGCGCGGCGCGGACTCCTGCGCTCAGCTCCAGGCGGAGCTGCGAACCCGGGCGCCGCTCTCCGACGACTGCGGAGTGGTGGCGCCTGTGAGCCAGTGAGCCCGCCCGCTCCCAACCCCCAGACAGGGGAAGTGATAGCGAGGACATTTCCAGGAAGCTTTTCGGAGCGGGGGAAGGGCTCGGGAGAGTGCTGGAGGCCTAGTAAACACTGCCTAGCCATCCTTCCTAGCTCATCCCCGGGTCCTTGCGTTTCGTTCCGTTTTCTCAGACTGTGAAGTTCCACTGCGGGGTGGGGGGACAGGGGGGGGGGCGGGGGGGGAAACGGAGTG